ACAAGGAGCTAGGGTACGCAATAGATCTAATCAAGGCTTAATCTAGGTTGAAAGTATTCAAACTAAAAGACAAGTTTGAACAAGGTACTTGTTTGGTTGGTTTGAAGTAGGTTGTAACGATATTAAAGGGTAGCTAGACTTAGGGTTTCTATTCACGTAACCAGGACTAACAAAATATAGTGGTTTAAGTTGGAGAATATGTTAGAGCTCAACTAGGGCATAGTCCATCAGCTAGACTGTCTAATGACTAGATCTACTATCTCATTTGTCACAATTTTGACCAGTATAAAGTGTCGATCGATGACTCTATAGGAGTATCAATCGATACACCTTTTGCAAATGTCGATCGACAATTCGATATGAATGTCGATCGATCAGCTTTTACATGCAAGTTTTAGGTGCGGATTGAACTATGCTCACTAAGTTCCTAGATCAGCTGTCGCATGTTTCTAGCAATCTTAGTTCAATAAGGATCAGTTCTAATCATTCAATCATCAAGGTTCTAGTTAGCTACTCTAGGACACAAGCATTAAGATCAATCCTAGTGATGAATACGACAACTTAAAAAATCTATATTTAGGCTAATCCTTCATAACCTATTTGAACCCTAAATCTAAGAAGTGAATTACTCAAACATAGCAAAGTAAATCATAGCAACAACTAGATAAGAAAACTGCATAGATAAATCAATGGAGTTCCAATAACAAGCTTGTAGAAGTCTTGAAATCTTCTCTCCAAAACTCTCTCTAATTATTTAGGTATTGAAAACAAAATAACAAGAAGCTATTCTTGCCGGCAACACAATGGCAAAGCTAATATACTTAGATTAAAACTTGTCAGGGGTAGAATTGTAATTTGGTGAAGACTTGGACTCAAAACCGCCTGAGACAAAATCGTGTCTCTGTGTTTTACGCCTATCGATCGATGTCACAAGGTGTGCATCGATCAATTGTGATCTTCTAGTATTGACCTCTCGGTCTGCTCGATGGTCAGCTCGGGTGAAATTCCCTTTGTCTCCAAAAGAACTCCAAAATCATCACTTTCTTCCAAATTACTCATGAACCTATAAATATGCTATATAGACTCTAGAACATAATAATTAGTTAGTAAAACATTTATATACCATGACTAAAAATGGGTAAAATCCATGGTATATCAAGAAGGCTTAGGGTTTAAAGACATTATGTATTTCAATACGTCTATGCTTGCAAAGAACTTGTGGCGTTTGATTGAAAAGCCGAATACTCTATTCTCTAGAGTGTTTAAAGGACGTTATTTCAGGAATGCATCAACCCTGGAACCGATTCGATCATACTCACCCTCATATGGTTAGCGCAATATTATCTCTGCTAGATCTCTGGTTAGCAAAGAACTAATCAAAAGGGTGGGATCATGATCATCCATCTCAGTATGGAATGATTATTGGCTCTCAACCACTCGCCCGAGACCAGCAAATAATATTCAACAAAAATGTATCCCCGATCTTCTCGTGGATTCTCTCATCAACATGACCTCGTGTACTTGGAACTTACATGCAATTCAATCTGTTGTAGATCCTCAAGATATATAGATTATTCAGAGTATACCTCTAAGTCGGCGATAGAGATGACTGGAATTTTACAAATAATGGAAAATATACGGTGAAATCTGGATACCAAGTGGAGCGGATATACCCTGACAGAGAACAACCACCAACAATGTATGGACCTACGATTAATGAAGATCTTAAGTCATTTTGTTGAAAGATCGATGTCCACCGAAAATCAAGCATTTTCTATGGCAAATCGTTTTAGGGTGTATAGCGGTAAAGAAAATTTTAAGTAAAAGAGGAATTAAAGGCGATATATGTTGTGTTTGTTGTGGCGAACCAGGGGAATCAATGAATCATGTTTTTTTAATGTCCACCAGCGATCCAAGTTTGGGCACTATCGAGGATTCCATCGAATCCAGATATTTTCCCAACATAATCAATTTTTGCAAATACGAACCATTTGTTTTGTAGAATTTTTCTGAAGATAGAGGATCATCAATTTGCATAAAACTTTTGGATATATTTTGAAAGGAATGAATCACAAATTTTTTAACAACATCGATATTGATCTCAGAGATACCCTCAAACTAGCGAAAAAGGAATCATTACTTTAGGTTGAGGCACAACTTACAATCACACAAAGAATTACTCATAGTAGGGGAATGAGGTTACAACCTTACCTCTTATTTCGGGTAGATGGTGTTTCATAGATGGGTCATGGAAGGATAAAGATTTACATTCGGGACAAGGTTGTTATAGTACACTCAAAGGCTTTGTTGGTTTATTGGGGGCACGAAACACTCGAGCTAGACTTTCACCCCTTCTTTCGGAAGTAGATGCACTTATATAGGCAATATAATGTATGAAGAATTAATGGCAGTATCAAGTCACATTTGCAACATATTGTTATTAATTGTTGAAGATGGTTTCAGAACCAGAACACTGATCAGCTTTTGCAAGTTATTTATAAGATATCAAGATCCTTAAAGACAGTTTTCATTCCTCCGAGCTTCTCCAAGGACCTCAAGAGCGGATAGCCTTGCACGTAGTGTTAGGAATCAATCAACCTTCGTCGTACATATGGATTCCAAGCTCTCTGATTGGTTTGCAGAGTCTTCATGAGTTTGTGTTTTTCGTTGATAACAAAAAAAAAAGTTTTTGTAAAATGGTAGGGAAAAGAAGTAAACTGTACTATGCTTTATAAACTTTCTGTTACCAACTTTGAATGTAGTGAAATTTTTTTTTGTATGAAAGAGCTTTAAAATTGTCTTGCCACATTTTAATTTCTGTATGTTTTCGCCATCATTTGTAACTTTCCTTGACATTGTCAAGCCATGTCTACTTTATCTTTGATCTACGTGTTCCGTAGAAATGGCAAATAATATTTTAAAATCAAAATTGTAAAGGAGTAATAGGAGCAATATAGCAAAAAATATTGTAATAAATTAATAATGAAATTTATTTTAATGTAATAAAAATTATGCGTTAGTTTAGACTAAAATGGTACGCATTGAATATATTGTTTTTTTTTGTTAAGACTAATCGAATAGATTGTTGCCAGAATGAAATTAGTAGAACTGTGAGGACTAGCTACATAGAAATGCTACGTTACATGGAAACACTTTCTTTCTTGTGCATGTAACCTAATATTTTGGCTATCTAAATTCTATATATCTGGTTTTGTAACAAAATGTTTGGTTGAGTATCTTACTATTTGCTGGAAAAACATGGTATCAATGGGTTGATAGTTTTGTTCTTACCCATATCATTATTTTCTTGTAGCAAACATCTGTTAAAAAAGAATTCTCTGCTCTTTTACACCTGGCTGAAAGTTTTAACGTATCCAGTTTACACTATTAAAATAGACCTTCATTTTATATGGAGTATATACTTTTACTAAACATATTAACAAAAAAAAGACTCATAAATATAAGGACTTATTTGTCAATAACAAAAAAGAATAATTAGATTTTTAGTGATAAGTTAGAGAAAGATATGAAGAAACCCTAAACCCTAATCTTAAACCCTAAACCCTTGAGTAAATCATAAACTCTTTGGAAAAATTTTAAACATTAAATCAAAACATTAATATTAACTAATTATACTATTTTTTATTTATTTTTATCTTTTCATTTCACCAACATAATATAATGTAACAATCTTTTGTTTTCATTTTAAAGATATATTAAAATATTTTTTACAATTGTTTTTTTTTGCAATTATTACTGTTTTTATTTTATTTTTATCTTTTTATTTTAAAAACATGATATAATGTTAAGATTTTTTAAGAATTGTTTTCGGTTTTGTAAATATTATTATTTTTATTTATTTTTTCTATTTTTATTATAAAAACATAATATAATTTAACAAATTTTTTTTCTTTCTTAAAAGATATCAAATATGAAATAACACCATTCTATTGGCGGTGAACTTTGAGGTTCACACTAGAGGGTGAATCCAAGAATAAGTCTTTTTTTAATTGATTATCTTGAAAAAGTAAGGAAAATATTGGAGAAATTGTTTTTTTGAGACAAAAAAAATGGTAATATTGTCCCCTTAGACTAATTTCTTTTTGGTACCATTTTTTCCTATAATACCCTTTATTAATTTCGAAAATAAATTAAATAAATAGTTTTAGAAACAAAAAAAAAAAGCAAAAAAACAACTAGTTATGAAACATCAATATCAATCTAGTGGTATTTTTTTCAAGTTCTAAACATTTATAAATTGGTTTTTCAAATTATATTCTACATAAAGTAGAAGTGGCATTCTACAAAGTAGATAATGTAATCCACTTTTTTCACTGATTTTACTATGTTTATAATACACATTCCATGCTTAAACTATCCTTCTAAAATCAGTAGAAAACGGAATCTACACATTGCTATAAATCTAAATATAAGTAGAAATCAGAATCTACAAATTATTATAAATCTAAAACCTGTAGAACCTGATTTCAAACCTTATTATTGTATTCTACATATAGTATTATACACATTCTACAGATAAGAATATTCTGTTCCAAAAATATAGGAAGATAATATTTGAAAAAAAAATATTTTTTGATTAAAAAAAATAAGTAAAATCAATTTTTTATTTAAAAAAGATCGACTGAACTGGGCAAGGTCGATTAGTTTATGCTCTGTGTTTTTTTATGTTTTTGTTTAATCATCGAGATCGACCGTTGGGATCGACCGAATCTTTCTGGGATCGATCGATCCCGTCGTATAGAGCCGTTTCTTTTCTCTTTTTTTTCCCGATTTGAAGATTTTTATTTTTAATTTTTTACGATTTTTAACTGAATTTAAGGACATTATTACCATTTAGAAAATATTTAATCTAATGGGACATAAAGTAATAGAGATTAGTCTAAACGGACAATGTTACCATTTTTTGGCCATAAATTTCTATTTTCCTGAAAATATTATCAATTAACAAAATAGCCTCAGTTAAAAAAAGTATTACTCCTAAAACATTAATTAACATTTAATAGTATCATACAACTTGCGAAAACATTACACGCCAAGAGGCAAGAGCTAACACAAGAAAATAAAAAGAAACATCAAAAAAGACAATAGGCTCGTGGGACCAATTACGTTATCACATATTTACCGAAAGACATGTGCTTTCCAAATGTGATAGATAGTACCACGTAACGTAAGTGCATTGCAATGAAACAAAACCAATAGAAGACCACGACTTAAACCTAAAAACGGTTCTTCAGTTCCATAACCAAATCCACATGCCTCAACATCTGGCGAATTAGTCAGGCCCATTTGGCGAGAATCGACATTCCAACGCACCCGAGAAGAGCCGCCGTGAAACATTTGACCTGCATTTTGATGCTGCCTTGAAGCTTTGGCCCCATGAACTCGGCAGCTAGAAGGTCAACGAGCGCCATGTAGATGAGCAATCCGGCCGAGCATGCATTGAGAAGTCCAACAGTTATCAATGCCTTGGGACTGTTTTCTCTGTAAACGGTTGATAGAGCAATTCCTAACGCTATTCCAAATGGCGTTGTCACCGCGAAAAAGAACGCCATTACAAACTTTTTCAAGTTCGTGTACTCAGCCTGAAAATATATCGAACATTAATTGTTTATATATTTATAATTTTAGTATTCTAAGAAACCAAACGGGAATAGATCGAGCCCCTAGTAAAAAAAAAATCGTGATTCGAAAACTAGCACTCTTAATTAGCCGGTCGATTAGAGAAAGATACAATCTGATGTTTTATCACAAAAGAATGGAAGTTTATTATATATAAATTTTTATACCTGGAGAATGCAACCGCCAAGTCCCATGCCTTCGAACATTTGATGGAAGCAAAGAGCTGCAATGAGTCCTTTGATGGTGCAAGTATCATTAGTTGCTCCTACAGACAGTCCAATCACCACAGAGTGAACTATGATTCCAAGCTCCAAGACCTAAATATCCATGGAAATAAAATTGAATGACATTAATATATCATTAGACCGACGAAGTCGAAAAAAAAAATGATAAAGTAATTAATATTCGGTTTCTATATATTACTACTACTAACCATTGCAATGACTCGGTATCGCAAGAGTTGTGAACTCGTCGAATCATCATCTTTTGTTGGTAAGGTAACACCATTTGCGGGGCCATGACCATGACCATGGGGTATGATCCCAACTGCGTTCTTGCTAGTATAGAGACTCGTAGCCATGGAATCGATGGCTAGAGTGATTAGACCGGACAACATAGCGAGGAACCCCGTGAAGGGAAACTTGTGCCACGGGTTCTCTTCAAGACATGGTGATGACAACATGTCGAAAGAATCAGGCAACACGTGCATAAAACCAGTTCCGAGGATGATCCCGGAGGCGAAGCATTTCACAACGGTGAAAATGTCTCCGTCGGGTCGAAGGAACGGCACCGAACGGCTAAAGAGAGGAGCTCCAACACCAATCATACTTGCGACTAGGATCGTGACGATTGCTATGATTTTTAGAGGCAAAGCTTTAGCTTTGTCGACGCAAGGGTTCGCCGACTCGGCTGCGCATTCATCTGGTACCGTTGAAGTTGCTGGAGAAATTATGAAAGAGACAAAGATGAGTGCGATAAAGATTGTTTTCATTAGACGTGTTGAGGTTGAAGCCATTTTTCTTTTTCTTTTGAAGTTTTATGTTTGGATTGTATAATGTTTATGTGTCTTTGGACTTAATGGATGAGATGGTTTATATAGTAATGTGTGCAGGTTGATTTCATGCCGCCCTGTTTTGTTGCTACTGAAGAAATTATTGTTTACTAGTAAGTTTGACATACCCCTACTTATATTCTTTAGCATAAGAAGATATTATATTGTCCATTATAATATGTATGTACGAATGTTACAGCTAATCTTATGATTCATGGAAAAATTAAACTAAACTTTTTTAAAGTTTGATGTGTTATAGTACACATATTTGGATTATAGCGAAAAAATATAATTGTTAATTTTTAAATCATAAAAAATATAGTCACTTAATTTTTTTGTTGGACTTGTGGGATTTTGTTTGTCTCTCCACCACATGGGGTTCGATGTCATTCCCTTTGTGTAGGATGAAATAATTGTTTTTCAAAGTGGACAAATAAAATACGAAAGGTATCGGAAGTATTTTCTTGGTTTATTTTAACTTATTTGTTTTTGTAAACGTACAAAATTACAGGTCTAAATGTCTAATCCTAGAATTGTCTCCAAATTTTCTTTACTGAAGGTATGTATCGATAGCTAAGAATGCTTTAAAACCGCGATGAATAAAAATTAACTCTACAAAATAAATTCTGGACCCAGTTAATCATTGGGTTACTGCTTTAGTTCTTGTTTTGAAGTATGCTATATTTTTATTATAATAAGAAAGCATATCATACAAATACTAGAATATGTAGATATATAAGTACGATTATCAAAACAAATATATTTGTATTAGAAATGTGATTATTACCAAAAATCCACTTTAAACACAGAAAAATAAATTTCAGAAATAAAGCAGGTATTATGGTATACATTTTCTTGGGGTAAAATGTCAAATATTATTACTAAAGTTTTTGTTTTTTACGGAAGGAACCTATGCTAGTAACAGAAATGCGCAGAACTCTAAATAGAGCATCTAATAACAGAAAATGACCTAAATGAAAAAGATACCATGATTTTCAACCGGATGTCAGTGTAACAATGAAGGACCAAAAAAAGGTATGAGTGAAATGATCACCCATGCCACCGGAGAGAAATGCGCCTTTAAACTTTTAAAAACGGCTTATACAATTTTGAAGAAACCCACACATCGACACCCGCCCAAGGAATCACAATCTCGGACTCGCAAGCCCATCCAACATAACTTACACCGGCAGCTCGAGGAGGAGACCGCAATCGACGTTATCGTTGTTCAGGGAAGGAAACTGAAGACTGATGCCTTCAACCCACCAACTCGGGACCGTATACACTCACTCATTTGACCCAAGGACCATATGGAGCACAACCGAAGAAGCAACTGTTGAGCAAACAATAAGGACCAAAGCCCAACTAACACCAATTCTCAATCAGCGGACCTGAACCGCTCTTCACAGATGAAACAAGAAGAAAGAAACCTTGGCGAGGAGCGCCACACCGTCGAACCCACACCACTTTGCGGAAAGGTGAAGAAACCCATGCGTCGACACCACCAGACCGCCACTGAATACTATAACAAGGCTAGACAACGACCAACTCTAAGCAGCACTCCACGTGCTTCCGGAGACCATTAAAGGACCCGAAGAGAAACAAGAAACTTGAGATCCACGAACCACAAGCTTCAACCCCAAAAGAAGAAACGTCACCGAAATAGAGTTATCCTTGATGTTATTTTGAATTTTTTTATTGAGTGTTTACGACGTCCAAACTTGTTTTTACTCTTATAATATGACCCAGTAATTTTTTGAAACTGTTAATCCTTAAAATGTTATATTTTCAAGACTTTAAGTTGACTTTCGGCGGGAAGCCGTGGGGAATACCCAAAGGGATTCCTGAAGGAAGTTTTTTTTTGGTTTCTGTCGAGAATCCGTGAACCAATCAAACTAATATCTATTGCATCTTTACATTATTGAATTCCGGGAAGACGACTTATTTCCACACCAGAACTATCGTATAGTAATAAATGTACACAAACTTTCAACCTCGACGTAATTGCACACATTTTAAGTATAACAACCTATTTACACACAGGATAAAAGTTCGAAACCCGTTTCCACATAAACTTTGAAGGATGAACTAATATCGACATATAGCGGTTTAAAGTTGGTTAGTGTTTTCTATTTTCATAACTTAACCAATGATTAACCTAAGTAAACCTAAAATGACCCAATTACGATATGAATAGAAAATATAAACCGGATTAAGCCAATTAGAAACCTTAAAAACCTAAATACCCAAATCATCTTCCTTACTCTCTCTCTTACGCGAAAAAGAAAGAGTTCCTTTAGGTTGTTGCCCCTCTACTTCGTTTAGAGAGGTAATTTTGACATCTCTTTCTCCACTCAAATTTCTAGATTTATTATTCATATTTTCTAGATTTTGCACTGTGAAACGAAATCTCTTCTCTAGATTTTAAAAGTTTAGGGTTCTAAAGGATGAAATCGATTTGGGGGTTTTTAAAAGGGTTTTAGGCCAAGTTTAAATTGAACCCTAGTCGGATTTTTTTTCCGGTCGTGTTGTACCAATATCAACTGATACGAACTGGTTTAATATCGGTTAATATCATAAACCATTAAAACCAAGCCAAATCTCGGTCGGTGTGGAAAAGGGTTTCGAACTTTTATCATATGTAGAAATAGGTTGTTAAATTTAAACTATGTGCAATTACGCTGAGGTTAAAAGATTATGTACATTTGTTACTATATGATAGTTCTAATGTGGAAATAGGTCGTCATTCCCTTGAATTCCATGATCGTTACTCTTCACAAGTCTATAACATAGGGTTAGTATTTTGGAGGGAAGACTACTCTACTTAAGTTGTTTAAGTTATAGAAATGTTTTACATTCCATGTCTACCAATCATCTCATAATCTGTCTTTCATGAAAATTGTTGAAAATCTGATGCTTTATATATATATATATATATATATATATATGTGTGTGTGTGTGTACATCGTTTTTACTTTCTGACTTTTACATTTTGCAATTGAAGTCAACAGAATCTCCCTTTTCGTAGCTTAATTCTTAACTCGAACCACTTGTAATATAATTAACTTTAGTTCTTGTTGATTGATTCCTAAAATTATTGCGAACTGTTGTACGGTTTCTAAATAGACTTAAAACGTGATCACATCAACTATACCATATTTCCAAGATTTATATAAAAGCTCTAGATTTATCATTTTTTAATTGATAATTAGTATTATAAATAATAAAATCATATATAAATATAGAAAATACACTGTATAAGAAGATATATTTATAAAGAACTGTAAAGAGATTTTTTCCTAAAAACCAATTAGTAAAATTTTAACTATATAATAAGCCTCATATTTGCAGGCTAACACGATTCGGTCTAATTTCTAAAAATAAACTTTTTGTGTAACATGAATATATCTATTCATGTTAATCTGCAAAATATATATATATATATATATATATATCCATGTTACTTGTTATGAAGTGTATGTTTAGAGGAACTTTTTTTTAAATCCTTTTTCTTTGGTTTTGAATTTTTTATTTATCTGTCTACATAGTTTTTTTTTGTTCAAATAAATCTGTGTTGCGATACGATTTTCTAAAGATTATTCTTAAAACAAATACTGTTTTCATTTTTTGATGGAACTTTGGTGAGATGTTTTATTGGGTGGATGTCTTTAGGATGAGTTAAGGTACATGTAGTTGTTGTCATGTAATCATATTCGCAATGATTCGGTTTCACTAAAAAAAATTGCGTAACAACAACCAAATGGGGCATTCGCACATGTAGCCTCATCAGTAGCTGCATATATATGGTACTTCCGAACCAAAATAAACAATCCAAAAAAAAAAACAATCCAAAAACTTAATCATATACAACCCGAAATTCAAGTCTTAAATCACTAAAAAAAACTCAATTGCCACATGAATCACTACTACCATTGACCGAAGAGAGGTCACAAAACTGCAATATTCGTGCCGTTTGTCGAGCGTTCGAAGTCAACCTGTGCGTATTTTAGATTGTCCGGTAACTTCCGTTAGTCAACTCTCACAAATGTTTACTTTAATCGTGTATTTAAGTATGAATAAGCAGACACCTCGAGTCGATTATCTTATATACTTTATATAGGATTGTGACAAGCACACAATCACACGTGAAAGCTCGTGTTCAGTGCATTGTTGCAATCCAGTCATCCAAACATATAACATGCAACGAAGTATGACAGTAGATTCCTCTCTCGTAGCTTGAGTTTTCGAATATTGCATGTATCATTATAAATTAAATTGGTTCATAGCGCAGCATGATTATATATATATATATATTTGAACTATATATCTATTTCGAACTTTGAACTATATATCTTCAAGGTTAATTTATTAACTAACAGAAACCAATCTTTTTTTTGTTAAGTACGATAAATCAAAATCAATCTTAATCAGGGAAAGTAGCAGCTTATACGATTGCCACGAGGACACGACCACACGTGACAGCGCGTTCAGTGCATGGTGGCAATCCAGTCATCCGTACATATACTGATATACACAATGCCAGACCCAAAACTACTTACTGTGGTCAACTGTTAAAATAATATATTAAATCATATAAAATTTTTATTTTAAATTTTTATTATTAATAGTAAATTAAATTAATAGCATTAAAGTAATAATTTTGTTATAATAGGTTTAGATTATTCATCAATATATGTATATTTTTTTTCCAATAGTAGTGACTAAAAAGGGTATATGTAATATACACGCATCAAATTATGAAATTATATTTCTCTTTTCCTAGTATGAGTTTTCTAAATATTGCGTGTATGATTGTTGATTATTTTTTTAAAAGAATTATTCATAAGGTAGTCTGTTTTCTATTCGAACTATATATGTTTCCAACTTTGAACTTTATATCTTCCAGGTTTAACTTATTAGCTAACTATATAACAACTTTAAAAGCAGCTTACATTTTCTAATTGGAGATGACTTATCTATGTAAAATTTTGAAACAGAATTC